AATATAATATTGTTTGTGTTTCGAGGACGATAGGAAGTTCCCGACTGACACATCAAGGCGTTGATAGTGTCCGACGGGGCAGGTTGGAAGCGTCCGGGAAAGGAGATGACAGAGTTCAGAAAGATTGAGGAAAGGGATTTGCGGCACGTGACTATGGCGTGTAAGGCTGCCAGGTATTTGGCGGTGCTTTGTATGCGGGCAAGAGCCTTATTCCAGGTAGTGGAGCCTGGGTGGATACGCTTGATATAGATTCCAAGGATGCGTTCTGCCTCATTGGGAGCTCGGATGGGTATAATTCCGACGTGCACAAGGTCAGCAGGGGGGATATTGAATGGAATTATGGAACACTTGTTCCAGTTGGGGACCTCACCAGAGACAGATCCGAAAACGCCGTGTAGCACTATTACTTGTCCGAGCTGTGTATCTGAGGTGAGGAATAGAGTGACATCATCCGCATAGCACGCCATGAGGCGGCGCTGAGCGGGGGACAGAGCGAAGCCAGGGAGGAAAAGGGACATATAGCGGTGGAAGATCTCGATGACGCAGACGAAGAGCAGGGGCGTTAGAGGACAGCCCTGTCATACACCCGTGCGGATGGGGAAGGTGGGGCCAAGTATGTTGTTAACCGAGATGCGTGTATATGTGTTGGAGTGCATTAGGCGGACCTAGTGTATAAAAGGTGTGGGGAGCCCAAGGACTGATAAGGCTTAGAGGAGAAAGGGTCTGTCGACTAGATCGTATGCCTTGCGAAAGTCCACCGTAAGAGCGAGGAGGGGGGACGAGGAGTATGCAGCCCAGTCCATAATGTAAAGGGTGTCGTTAATAGTGTCCCCGATTTTCCTGTGTTTGATGAAGGTGGTTTGGGATGGGTGAATGAGCTGGGGAAGTGCGAGCTGAAGGCGGTTAGCAAGGCACAGCGCGAGGACCTTGTAGTCAGCGTTTATGAGGGTGATGGGGCAGAGGTTTTCCACTAGCGAGGAGTCTCCCTTTTTGGGAATAAGGACAGTTCGTCCGGTCAACACGGACGGGGGGAGGCGCGAAAGTGGCTGTGTTGGTGAGAGCAGGGAGTGGAAAGCCGGGGCAAAACGCGGGGAGAATTATCGGAAGAGCTCCTCGGGAAGACCGTCTGGGCCTGGGTTTTTTCCACGTGATAATGAGAGAAGGGCCTTTCCAATTTCGGCTAGGGAAAGAGGGGCACTGAGACGGAGGAATAGAGGGTTCGGGATGGAGGAGGGGGGGATATGTTGCCAGAAGGATGGGTTAGGGGTGACAGGGTTGCTTCCACTGTAAAGGGTTTGGAAGAAGTTAGAGCACATGTTTGTCATGGTGGAGAGGTCCGAAGTCGTCTGCCCATTAGGGAAGGACAGGGAGTTGATGACCGATCCTTTGATTCGCGAGTTGAGGCCGGAGAGAAGGGAGGATACTCCCATTTCTCTGTGCCCCTCAACTTTGAGCTTGGCCTTGAGTGCAATCTCGGAGGCTTTCGAGGCTTCGTATCTGGCCAGGTGGAGCCGTGCTTGGTCTACGCGGGAGGACTCGTCCTGATTCAAAGGCGCGGTCGAAGCTTGCAGCTGTAGTGAGCCAATGGTGTGCTCGAGATGCGCAATCGTTCCACCTACACGACGTCTTTCCTGGTTAGAGAAACTTTTGAAGTTAAGGGTGAGGTCGAGTTTCCATCTGTCCCAGGAGTTCGGGGAAGGGGAGGAGGGGAAGGCTGCGAGGGCGGCGTCTATGATTTGTGCAGCGCGGGGGGCGCATGAGAAGATGTTGGCGCCAGGGATGGGGAGCGACTGTGGGGTTGATGAAAGAGAGCGAGCAGAGAGGGGCATACATGTGATCCGTGATTGCCGTGCGGGTTTGGAGGTATGGGCTAGCAGCGAGCCGTGCGAGGAAGGCTCGGGAAATGTAGATCCTATCGAGGCGGGAGGATGTGGGGTGGCGTTGCCTGCCAAAGAAGGAAAAGACGTCGGCATGTGTGAGGTGGAGTGCACGGAATGTGTCGACCAGCGCGTGAGCGTCCAAGAGTTTGGCGAAGGACGCTCCTTCTTGGCTCTCGTGGTCCTTAGGGGTGCGGTTTCTGTCAACGGGAAGGATGATGGAGTTGAAATCTCCGACGAGCATGGACGCGGAGGCAGCAGTGGGGGTTTCCAGTGCCGGGACGAGCGTGGTGGTCCACCATACACGACGCTCATAGAATCGTGTGGGTGTGTATATGGCTATGAGGCGGATTTGCTCACGGAGATAGTTGAGATGTACAGTGATAAGTCTACCGTCTGCAGAGGGGAGTGGGGAGGACAGTGAGATGGCCCTATTGAAAGAAAGGATGGAGATGCCTCCGATGAGGGTGGGCCTCCCGCTAGCGCTGTCAGTCGAGAGCAGCGCCGGGGCGTGGGCGGAGGAATGAGGTCGAAACTTCAAGTCGAGGTTGGGGATTCTGAGGATGAGTCGGGTGTCGATGAGGATGACCAGGTCGGTGGCGGCAGGGAGGCACGAGAGCCAGGATTTAAGCTCATCCATTTTGCGAGGCTCGTTGATTCCATTCATATTGATGCATAGTATGCGGAGGTGTGTTAACATGGCGCTGACGTGAAGGCCACCGCATGGGAGATCGTGCGTATCCACGGCCTAGAAAGGGATTTGCGAAAGAGATTGCTTAGAAAAGAAGTGAAGCCGGTGAAGTGCTGGTCATAGTGAGGTTCATGGTATCGAGGCAGCATTTGGTTGCATGTTAGCGTGTTGAAAATGCTTAGCGCCATGGAGTCCGAGAACTGCCAGAGCGGTACAGGTTTGGAGTTTGGGGTGCGTACACTATATGTGTCCACTAGTTTTATGTGAACATCACCGGAGCTACGCCACAAGGCTGTTAGATGGTGCGAGGAGGGTGCAGAGTGCAGCAAGGTAAGGTACAGACAGACCTCGGGTGCTTGTGTGTCGTACTGGTGGTTGGGAGGAGTACAATCCCGTTTCAGGCAACTAACAAGAATGAGTGGCGATGTGTTACTTGTACTCGGCAGTGTAGGCAGCTTGCAATGGGAGAAGTGCGGAGTACTATAACGGTAGCAGTGTTTCCAGCTATAATATTTACAAGATTTGGAGCTGACCAGAAAGAGTAAGTCGTTACTAGTTATTGCACGGTCACAAATGGAACCTGTCCGACAAGTCAACTTATAAAAAAACTGCTGCGCCATATCGCGGGGCAAGCAAACACGTGGCAGCGAAGGTTGCTGGAGGTGCGGGCAAAGGGAGAACGTTCTCCGACGGCGGGGACACTGCTTGAAAGCTGAAGGATCAAGGCAGACTGCCAGAAACACAGAGTGAGAGGCGGGGAAGGGAGCAATACGAGTGAGGGTTCGGAGGGCGTAGAAGGAAAGGCAGCAGGGCCACTGGGCCACCTGAGGGTCCAGGGAGGAGCCTGAGAGGCATGGGGGGGGAATGCAGGTCCAGGGGGACTGGGGGGTGGTATAAAAACATGGTGAAATGAGGGAGGGCATGGATGAGGCAACCGGTGGGAGTCACCACTTGGGAACGAGGCCAAACCAGGGCGAGAGGGAGGGGCGGCGTCGTAGCGATGGGGGGCGCGAGAGTGGAAGGAGAGGGGGGGTGGAAACACCAGGAAGAGGGGGGGGGAAGGGGTGTCTAGAGCTGAAACAAATGCGACAGGGGCGTTTGAGAGGGAGCCACGATGGTCCAAAAGAGGTGGCTGGGGGCCAGTCGGGCTTCCGGAATCACAAGGCCACGCACAAGCAGTGTCAAGAGAGGGGGTGTGAACGCAAAGGCGTTGGCCACAACGATTCACGGGAATGGAGTGGGAGCCTAATCGGCGACCCGACTCCGGAATGGGCTGGGCGCCTAATCGGCAGCCCGAGCCTGAAAACCATGCACATAAGCAGGGGTATCGAGGCAGGATGGGGAGCAGCAAAGCTAAAGCGAGAGCATCATTGCAAAAAACCAGGGAGGGAAGAGGACCCTGTGACTTCGCAAAACAGTAAGGTGAAAGCCAACTGAGAGCGGCAAGAGGGTGTGGTGTAGCACTTACCTAGGGAAATGAGAGGGTGAGGTAGCGCGGGCAGGGCAGGGCGCGCGGCGGCGAGCGGCGCGCGGGCAAGGCAGGGCGCGCGGGCAGGGCAGGGCGCGCGGCGGCGAGCAGCGCGCGGGCAGGGCGGCGCGGCGCGGCGAGCGGCGCGCGGGCAAATCGACGCGGCGGCGCGCGGCGTGCGGGCAGGGCAGGGCGCGCGGCTGTGAGCGGCGCAAGGGCAGGGTGGCGCGGCGCGGCGGGCAGCGCGCGGGCAGGGCGACGCGGCGGTGCGTGGCGCGCGGGCAGGGCAGGGCGCACGGCAGTGAGCGGCGCGCGGGCAGGGCGACGCGGCGGCGCGTGGCGCGCGGGCAGGGCAGGGCGCGCGGCAGTGAGCGGCGCGCGGGCAGGGCGGCGCGGCGCGGCGGGCGGCGCGCGGGCAGGGCGACGCGGCGGCGCGCGGCGCGCGGGCAGGGCAGGGCGCGCGGCAGAGAGCGGCGCGTGGGCAGGGCGGCGCGGTGCGGCGGGCGGCGCGCGGGCAGGGCGACGCGGCGGCGCGCGGCGCGCGGGCAGGGCAGGGCGCGCGGCAGTGAGCGGCGCGCGGGCAGGGCGGCGGCGCGGCAGTGAGCTGCGCGCTGGCAGGGCAGGGCAGGGCGTGCGCGGGCAGTGCGACGCAGGGCAGGACAGGGCAGCGCGGCACTAACAGGGCGGCGCGACTCGTGGGGTAGCGCGATTCGGTGGGCCCTAAAAAAAACGGTCCTAGGAGAGGACCTACTCTGATACCATGTCAGAATAACGAACGAGAATGAATGAACTAGCAGCAAGATGGGTACAAGTAGCAAACCCTAATTGGGTTGCACCCCATATGGGCTACCCCACTATAGCCTACACAATGAGCAGCATATAAGTTTGACAGTTGCCACCGCTCCCAAAAGTAAAAGGAAGGCGATGGTGAGGTGGTAACAGTGCAGAGGCACGGTGAGCGTACCGACTCGCGAAGAGGCTGCTGGGAGGCGGAGCGCGAGCCCGAGTCCCGTCCTGACCAATACCGACGTAGGAGGTGGAAGTGGAAGAGACGTAGGCGGGGGTGGGGCACCAATAGACGGAAACGACGGTGAAAGTTTTTACATTGCCGTGTGAACGAGGGAGCGAGAGGGGGCGGGGCGACGGAAATCGGCGCGCGTGCAGGCTGCCAAGTTCCTGGCGGAGGCGGGGGGTTATCCGTTGGCGGTGGCGCGGGAGCCGTAGGGTGCGTCCAGCGGCACTGACATGTCACTGGGCGGCAGCGCAGCGTTAACGAGGCTCCTCACGGCCATCGCGAACGCGGGAGGTCGAAACACTGAAAGGCAAGCGAGGTCTGTCGGGCCGTTGAGCGGGAAGATCCGTGGGAGTTAAAAGAAGAGAAGCGAAAGGCGAAATAGGGAGGGGAGACGTGAAGGATGCTAAGATAGGACGTTTGATATGGCGGAGGCACGACCTGCATTTCACGACCCTGTTCCCTGTGTGTCGGCGCAGAGTTAGCAAAGGAGAACGAGGTGATGAAGGTGAGCAAGGTGAGCAAGGTGAGCGGCGGAAGCAGGCCGAGGAGGAAAACCGACTTACCTGGCGCCGAGACGATCTCGAGTGACAGGAACCAGCCTAACCGGCAAAGGTTTGACAGTCGTCCGGTTGAATAGGAAGGTAAGTTGGGGCTGCTGTTATCCGCGCTAGTTAAAAACCTAGGTGATCCGTGGGAGTTAAAAAAAGAGAAGCGAAAGGCGAAAATGGGAGGGGAAACGTGAAGGATGCTAAAATAGGACGTTTGATATGGCGGAGGCACGACCTACATTTCACGACCCTGTTCCCTGCGTGTCGGCGCAGAGTTAGCAAAGGAGAACGAGGTGATGAAGGTGAGCAAGGTGAGCAAGGTGAGCGGCGGAAGCAGGCCGAGGAGGAAAACCGACTTACCTGGCGCCGAGACGATGTCGAGTGACGGGAACCAGCCTAATCGGCAAAGGTTTGACAGTCGTCCGGTTGAATAGGAAGGTAAGCTGGGGCTGCTGTAATCCGCGCTAGTTAAAAACCTAGGTGATAACCTAGGTGGCGACATGGTTGGGGTTAGGTGGCGCGGAGTTGGAGGTATCTGGTTTGAAAGGTGCACTGTATCGGCTCAGGATGATTGGAAGGCTCCAGGCAAGCAGGAGGCCAAACCCGGGCACTGATTCGGCAAAGAAAATTTCAAGAGATTCATTTAATGATTTACTTTCGAATATTTCATTAGAACATATTATGTTTTTGCGTGTTTTAATTTTATGTTTTTACGGCCTCTTGCTTTTGTGGAGCCTTTTAAAGGATCTGTCCCGACCCGAGCCGATGAAGTGTTATGGTTGTTGCAATACATCGTTAGGGCTGATTTTCCTTAAGTTCTTCCAGATTCTCTAAGAGTTTTATATTCATTTCTGGTTTATTTTTCAGGGGTATGTATGGGTGAGGTGCTGGTGGCAACTTTGTGTCAGGTTTGTGATTCTAATATAATAGAACAGAATATGTAGTGTCAAGTTGTGTAGGCTGTAGTGGGGTAGCCCATATGGGGTACAACCCAATTAGGGTTTGCTACTTGTACTCCTGCATGCTGCTAGTTCACACATTCTCGTTCATTATTCTGACATGGTTTCAGAGCAGGTCCTGACCTAGGACCGTTTTTTTTAGAGCCCACCAAATCGTTCCCTGCCCGTAGCGCGTTACCCTACCCGTAGCGCCCTACCGTGTTCGTCGCGCTGCCCCACCATTCGCGTTACCCTGCCCGCGCGCCGCCCTGCTGGCTGCCGCGCTGCCTTGCCCTGCCCTGCGTTGCGCTGCCTAGCGCGCGCTCTGCCCTGCCCTGCATTGCGCTGCCCCGCGCACGCCCTGCCCTGCGTTGGCCTAGGGCCCGCGCGCCGCCCCTGCCCTGCCCTGCCCGTCGCGTCGCCCTAGGGCCCGCGCGCCGCCCCTGCCCTGCCCGTCGCGTCGCCCTAGGGCCAGCGCGCCGCCCCTGCCCCTGCCCTGCCCGTCGCGTCGCCCTAGGGCCCGCGCGCCGCCCCTGCCCTGCCCTGCCCGTCGCGTCGCCCTAGGGCCCGCGCGCCGCCCCTGCCCTGCCCGTCGCGTCGCCCTAGGGCCCGCGCGCCGCCCCTGCACTGCCCGTCGCGTCGCCCTAGGGCCCGCGCGCCGCCCCTGCCTTGCCCGTCGCGTCACCCTAGGGCCTACGCTCCGCTCTGCAGCCCGCGCGCTGCCCTTGCCTGCCCGCGCGCCCTCCTCTGCCCGCGCGCCGCCCTACTTGCAGCGCGCCGCCCTACTCTGGCCGCGCGCCGCCCTTCACTGACCGACCTACCCTAGTGCCTGCTCGCCGCCCTACCTTCCTTGCGTGCTGCCATGCCGGTCGCACACCTCCTTACTTTGCCCGCTATGACGTCTCTTCGTGGTAGCGGTGGGAGTCGTGGCGGCAGCGGTGGCAGCTGTGGGAGTGGTGGCGGCGGCCGTAGTGACAGTCTCGGTGGAGCAGTCCGGTGGGGAGTTGCTGGCGGTGGCCAGATGCAGCTCCAGCGACATCCGCGCGAGTCCCTCACGCCCCAGCAGCTTCGTGAGCGGTACGCTAGTTGGGGTTGTGGCGGCGGCCGTAGTGGCAGTCGCCCTGGAGCTGGTCAGTCAAGAGTTTCTGGCGGTGGCTAGATGCAGCTGCAGCAGCGTCCGCGCGAGACCCTTACGCCCCAGCAGCTTTGTGAGTGGTACGCTCAGAGTAGAGGGTCTCGGAGTACTGTTTGCTGCCCGTACGTCATTCGCACAGGTGATCAGGCTGGTCAGACTTGCGGGACAGTTGGTCAGACACAGTCCCGCTGCTTCGCCTGTCTGAGCGACGCCTGGCGTACAGAGTTTGCCGGCTGAGCTCCCCAGTTGGGTGGAGCTTCTTAGGCAGAGGGTGGATATCTTTGCTCTTGACTATGATGCTAACCTCACTGCCATGCATGCATTGCCTACTAGTGCTGAGGGTGACTGTTACCTGTGTGTGCCGCCCGACCCAGGTATAGAGTCTGCTGCTCTAGGTGCTGGTGAGGCTGCTGCTCTAGGTGCTGGTGAGGCTGCTGCTCTAGGTGCTAGTGAGTCTGCTCTCTCTGGTGCTGCACCTGCTGAGGCCTTGCACACCTTCACGCTTGACTCAGGTGCTTCCCGCTGTTTCTTTCGCGACAGTACCGCACTCACACCGCTCCCTGCACCTGTTGCTGTCTCTCTGGCTGACCCCTCTGGGGGCCCAGTCCTTGCACGTTCCTCCACTGTTCTCCCGTGTCCAGCGGTTCCGTCTGGCTCACTGTCAGGTCTTCACCTCCCCTCGTTCTCTACGAACTTGGTGAGCAACGCCGTCCTTCAGGATGTATGGGTTGACACCTTTACTCCAGGAGGATAGCGTGTGGCGATCTGTACGTGCTCCCGGACTGGCCGGCACCTGGCCACGTTCACACGTGCGCCTGGCTCGAGTCTGTACACACTGACTACTGTGTCTCCTCAGGTAGCTGCGTCTGCGTCTGCGTCAGGTCAGCTAGCGGCCCCCTGCTCGTGTCGCGCACTGTCGCACCGGACCCTCCTTTGGCACCACCGTCTTGGGCACCCCTCAGTGCAGCGCCTTCGTGGCATGCACTCGCGTCTCCTTGTCTCTGGTCTTCCCGAGACTCTGCCTCCCCTCCCACGCCGCTCCTCACTCCTCCTCGTTTCCCCGGATGACTGCTCCCCTGCAGACTCTCCACATGGACGTGTGGGGCCCAGCCCGCGTCCGTGGACAGGGCCGCGAGCGCTACTTTCTGCTGGTTGTTGACGACTACACGCATTACACCACGGTCTTCCCCTTGCGCAACAAGGGGGAGGTCCCTGATGTTTTGATCCCTTGGATCCGCGCTGTCCGTCTCCAGCTACGCGAGCGGTTCCACACGGACCTTTCAGTCCTGCGTCTGCACTCTAACCGAGGTGGTGAGCTTTCCTCCGACCTCTTGCGGGAATTTTGTCATGGGGAGGGCATTCTCCAGTCGTTCACGCTTCCGGCCTCTCCGCAGCAAAATGGGGTTGCTGAGCGCCGCATTGGCTTAGTCATGGAGGTCGCTCGTACCTCCATGATCCATGCGGCTGCCCCCCACTTTCTGTGGCCGTTTGCGGTCTGGTACGCTGCGCATCAGCTCAACCTCTGGCCCCGTGTCTCCTTGCCGGAGCCCTCGCCTACACTGCGCTGGATGGGGAAGGTTGGCGATGCGTCGGTGTTCCGGGTCTGGGGTTCTCGTGCCTTTGTCCGCGATACGTCCGTGGACAAGCTCTCCGCCCGCGCCATTCCCTGCGTCTTCCTTGGTTTCCCCCCTGACGCGCCTGGCTGGCAGTTTTACCACCCCACCTCGCGCCGTGTCCTGCCCTCTCAGGACGTCACGTTCGACGAGTCGTTTCCCTTTTACCGCCTCTTCCCCTACCGCTCTGCCCCTCTCCCCCCCCCGCCACTCTTCCTCGCACCAGGTCCTCCTCCGGTAGACCCCCTCCCCCCTCAGGGTCCTGCTCCCTCAGGTGTGTCTCAGGTAGACCCTGTCGAGCCTGTCGAGGTCGCGGTCGACTCTGGTGCTGCTGCTGGGGGTGGTGCTGCTGGGGGTGCTGAGCCGGAGCGTGCGGAGCCTGGGGGTGCTGAGCCTGAGCGTGCGGAGCCTGGGGGTACTGAGACTGGGGGTGCTGAGCTTGAGGTTGCTGAGTCTGGGGGTGCTGAGCCTGGGGGTGCTGAGACTGGGGGTACTGAGCCTGCGGGTGCTGAGACTGGGGGTGCTGAGCCTGGGGGTGCTGAGTCTGCTGGAGGTCCTACAGGTGCCTCGTCCCGGCTGGGGGTCCTACAGCTGCGCGAGTGGTTTGCTCTGCGCTGGAGCCTTCGGAGTGGCGCTGCTGGAGCCGGGGGGCCTCCCGCTGGAGGCCCTAGAGCTGGAGGTACTGGAGCTACTGGAGCTGGAGGTGCTGCTGGCGTTGGAGCTGGAGCTGCTGGAGTTGCTGGAGCCACTGGTCCCGGAGGTGCTCGTACTGGAGGTACTGGAGCTGCTGGTGCTGGTGGTGCTGCGGGCGTTGGAGCCGGAGGTGCTGGAGCTGCTGGTCCTGGAGTTACAGAGGGTACTGGAGGTTCTCCGGGTGCCTCGTCACAGCAAGAGCCTCTCTCCCCACCGCAGCTGCGCGAGTGGTTTGCTCGGCGCTGGAGTCTTCAGAGTGGCGCTGCTGGAGCTGGGGGGTCTGCCACTGGAGGCCCTGGTCCTGGTGGCGCTGGAGGTACTGGAGCTGCTGGAGCTGGAGGTGCTGCCGGTGTTGGAGCTGGCGCTGCTGGAGGTGCTGGAGCCACTGGTCCCGGAGGTGCTCGTACTAGACATACAGGAGCTGCTGGAGCTGGAGGTACTACAGGAGTTGGAGCTGGAGGCGCTGGAGTTTGCGCTGCTGGTGGTGCTGGAGCCGCTGGTCCCGGAGGTGCTCGTACTGGAGGTACTGGAGCTACTGGAGCTGGAGGTGCTGCAGGAGTTGGAGTTGGAGGCGTTGGAGCTGGAGCCGCTGCTGGCGCTGGAGCTGCTGGAGCTGGAGGTGCTGGAGCTGTTGGTACTGCAGGCGTTGGAGCTGGAGACCCTGGAGCTGGGGGTACTGGTGCTGTCGGTGCTGGTTCTGGAGGCACTGTGCGGCCGCGTTCGTACTTCGTTCCACTGCTTCAGCAGGTTCT